TTCATTTATAACAAATGTCCATAACTTATTTGTCAAGAAACTATTTTCAAAAAATAACACATTCAAAAGTAAGGATCGAGTTTCCTTGGCATGAAAAAAAGGTAAGAAAATAATTTAAAGCGTATTACCTAGTCAATCAAGAGATGCCGAAGCAACACGTATTGTTCGAGGTGCATAGTGGATAATGACACCATCATACTCATAATTGAATATTGAAGGGTTTCATCATCAACTTATCCTAGGCTCGGCTAATGCAACTCTAAACCTCGGCTTGAAAAATGATTATTTGTCACTATGAGAGTGATGCCACGTAGGATTGTTAGAAAACGAAAGCTTGTGATTGGTCTGATCGAACTGGCTAGCTAGCTCATAGCCAAGCCGCCGAGCCAGCTTGCAAAATACAAGAGGAAGCATTAATTAGTGGATCCACTTATACTGAGGTACACCTTAGCAAAAGACGATCCACTCAATCATAAAGTTAGCCACGAAAGCCATAAAGCACATCTTGTTTGTCAACTCCTATATCTCAGTTGAAGTATAATGTCTATTATACCCCTCAAGAAGATATTAGATATCAGTAATAATCACCATTATCTTAAATAATACTCCGTGACCAAACTTCTTAGCAATGCATGCATTATTTTAAGCTTCACACTTGCTCATATGTACAACTACAACTTTTTATAACTAAATTAATTATATATGTAAGAAAAGTTGTGAAAAAAATTGTTGTTTTGAATATAAACACTGAATTAACTCAATTATATTACAAATGACATTTAAATACATTAGTAATATAATGTAGCCACATATTAATAGTACCAGGATCAAAATGATGCATGTATATATGTTAAATCGTTAATAGTACATGTAATGATTTTGTGTGAATTTAATCTTTGCATCTTATGTTTTATTTATACATGTACTACATAATATGAATTAAATAATTCTCAATAAACACTATATTTTTTTTTTTGAAGAAATCTCAATAAACACTTTTGATTAATGTGAATTGGGAACACATGAAATCAAGAGGACTATTGCACAATTTGATATGGCTACACAACTTTTCTACACCACCTCACAAACTCCCTTCTCCTAGCTAGCTAGCCTACACAATCTGAATCCGAGTCTAGTAAACAAACAATCAGTATAAACTAAATTAGGGCTTGTTTACATTTACTGAACTGAGCTAAACTGAACTGAACTGATTGGAGCTAAACTAAACTAAACTGAGCTAAAATGAATATTTTATGAGAGTAGAAAATTAAGAGCTAAACTAAACTGAACAGAACTGAACTGAAATTAAGTTGAAGTGAACAGACCCTTAATTAGTTGATAAAGTTTCTTATTAAAATTACAATATTTAAATCGTTTTCATTCGCATATTGTTATGGCCTCTTTATTTTAAACCACAACCACGTAATTATAATTTTATAACTAAGTAATGCAACAAATACACACAATTAGTGGACCAAGAAGAAAACAAACCTAGCAACATTATTATTGTCCAAAAGATGCATTAAGGGTCAATATTGTCACTAAAAAAATAAGATTATACACGTCAAAAGTGTAAGAAAATGACTCATACTTCCTCATTCAACCATTTTCATATTGAAATCTATAAAGCCAAAAGGAAAACTGCTGGTAAAGTCATCATCTTGTTCAGTTATGATTCTCAACTCCCACAATCATATCATATAATTATATATATTGCATAATATATATATATATATATATATATATATATATATATATGTTACACCCTCCACTATAATTATTCCTATATAAGAAATAAAAACTTAAGAAGCATGGCTTATAAACTTCCTATATAAAAATTTCACCAATAATCTATTAGTTCCTATATACTAATGATATTGGAACTAATAGATATGGTTGTGCTTAGAATTTGGGAAGAATATGATGCTAATGGCTCTTGATCACATGAGGATGACTCGGCTTTTGTCGAAAATCCACAGTTTGTTTGTTCTTTCAACATTTGTCTCTTGGCATCTATGATGGAAAGCGATTATTAGATGATGAGGAAGAGGATGAGGAAGAGGACGTACGTAAGATTTGTGAGGAAAGCTAAGGTTAAGAGATAAGTGATGAAAAACCAAGCAAGCCGGCAAGTCAATATAATGGCATTTTTGGGCTATTTCAATTTAAATGTTTTGTATGTTTTCATCTTCTTGTATGTTAGTTATTTTGTGTGCATCTTTGTTTGTGATGTGTAAAATTTGTTGCTTGTGTTTTTACTTGTTAAGGAAATGTAAGCTAGCTATGATAGATTGTTGTTGAGTTTATAACTTTAAGTGTGTAATTTGAGTTTGTTTAAATTGTTAATAATATTGTGATCGTCTTATATTTTTGTTTATTTGTTTTTTTTAAAAAAAAATAAATAAATATTGACCATTTTTCTAGCAATAGAAAGAACCTAATTGAAATTGGGTGTAATTTCAATTTGCACTTCTAGTTTTTTACACCAAACTTGTGAAAGTTGAATATATATAAAAAAAAATGTATGCACATAAAACCTACTCCATGTTAATTAAATGAATTGGTATTATGGTATAATCAGTTTACAAGATTTGTTGTTAACCTCTTTAATTTCTTCTTAATTTATTTAGTCCGATTTTAACTTTACTATTGCTATAAGAAATGATCAGCATGGTTTTGAAAGGTACATGGATGCCTTTTCCAATTTTGATCATACAAGACATTTCCAAAAAATAATTGATTGATCATGTTTATTAGCTAATTAATTATTCCTTTCATCTGGGAGTGAGGGATATCTCAAGTGGTTAGAGCTTCCCTCCTGGTCCCAGGAGATTCTGAGTCGATTCTCACCTCCGCCCCTATGGCTCTCTAAACACACACACACAAAAAAAAAAAAAAAAAAAAAAATCATCTATCTCTTCGTAGAAGTGTACTCTACTTGAAACACACTTCTTATTTTTCTTACGATAAGTGAAATAAAGGTTAAGTCTCTAACACTAAGAAGAAATACACTTTGATAACGAGCAAGCAAAAATGGTCTTGGAAGAATCACAGTAGAATTTAAATATATACTTAATACATTCATATGAAAATCTTTTTCTTTTTTCTATTTAATTTTTTTATTTAATTATTATTATTATTATTAGAAAATTTAGAAACCTAGGAGGTTAATAAGAACATGAAAAAAAGAAAAATTATAGTAAGGGTCTGTTCTCATTTACTGAAATAAAATGAGCCGAGCTGAGCTGAGCTGAACTGAACTGAACTGAATTGAACTTATTAGAGCTAAACTGAATTGAACTAAATATTTTATAAGAGAAGGAAATTAGGAGTTGAACTGAACTAAAATGAATATTTTATAAGAGAAGAAAATTAGGAGTTGAACTGAACAAAAATGAATATTTTATAAGAGAAGGAAATTATGAGCTGAACTAAACTGAACTAAACTTATTAGAGTTGAGCTGAGCTGAACTGAACTGAACTAATTTAAAAATAATCGTATTAGAACAGACCCTAAATCGCATAAAAAGCCATTACTCTACATCGTCATAGTGGAATATGAAAGGTGAAATCAAGCAATAATCAAATAACCTTTTCAAGGAAATATTAATAATCAAGTAATAGCCAAGAGGACATCCAACTATATTGTACTACTCTACATTTTTACTTATATGATAGTAGTATTTTTTTTTTTATCAAGACTAAAATTTAATTAGGGAATGTGAGGTGGATCTTGGACGAGTAAGATGTGTGTTAAGTAGGTGTGGGCCGGATGCCCAAATAGTTGTGGAATAAGATTTGTTTAAGTTTTGCATCCAAATGATTATGAATTTTATAATGACCTATTGATGATGGAGCGAGTATAGAGATGGAGGTACAAACATTCCTATGAACCCCATGCCTTAACAATAGGAGAATCCTAATTTGATGTTAATCAGGTATTAAATTTTTAAATAACTTTTGATAAGGTAATCACGTACAGTATACATATTAAAATTGACAAGTAACCTTTTGGGCTTGAATTAATATTTGATGCAAAGTACTTATTTCTTTATATAATGTCAATTTGACAAAACTTTCTGAAGTGGCTGTCCAAACTGATGTGCTTTTCATGTTTGCAATATTTGCAATTTGCAAATATAAGAAGAATCCTATTCATTATCCAAAATGTGGGTTTTGGGCAAATATTTTGCCAAGACAGATATTAATATACTACGTATTATGACCAATATGATATAGTCAAGGGAATTAAAGTCGCTATATTAATTAAGGGACAAAGTGTTTATAAATAACCACTGAGCGATTTACAATTAGGTACTCGTATTTTATGCCATATATGATACTCCATACCGATCTTTGATGGATTTCATCTACCACTGTATGATTATGATCCATATATGTTGTCACTTAATTAACAAAATATCAATAGGTTAGTTAAAGAAATTTTCGAAATTTGTGGGAACTTTCCTAAGAGGTAATTTGTAATTATAAAGAATAAAGTGACAATCCTTGTAATCAAGTTGGTTTTATTTGGAGTAGTTCATGTGTTAACACATCAGATGACTGAATCAATTTCAATTGCAACTTACGAGGGAAATTAAACCAACCCCATTATTCCAAACTTATACCAAAGATCTGATATCAAATTTCATTTACTTGTATATCACTTGCAAAAGTAGAAAATGATCATGCAACTAATCAACTAAACATTTAGATTTTACTGGGAATTGAAATTACAGGTATGAAAAAAAATAAAAAAAATTAATGAGCAATTTACATACTCAAGTTCAATCAAACTTAGCTAAGCATTAAGTTAATTTGTTTTTCCTAATCACTAGTTAAGTTTTGAGACAAACAGGAAACACAAAAATATATGCTAGATGAAAAAGGTTATAGTACAAAATGATCAAAATCGCAAGTGCCATTATCTCACCTAGCTCCAATAGCTCAGTTATTGACACTTCTGATCTGTTGATGAAATTAGATAAAGTAATAAATTTGTGATGTTATGAAAGTTTAAGATATGAAAATAACAACAATTTATGTAAATAAATGTGGATATACTGTTCTCTCTTGATGATTATTGTGATATTACTTTATTATAAAAGGATTATGCGGAATCATAAAAAAAATTAAAAAATTATTCTCAAATACAAAATAATTAGGAAATTATCCTTACAGCTACAACAAATTGTCGAATCACCTATCGAAAAAGGTTCTACAGATTTGTGCGTAAGATATTCCATAAGATCTACCAAACAATCGTTACATACTATATGGTGTTATATTAATGATTTGATTTAATATAATAAATTCGTGTCCCAGGACATGAAGACTTATAACAGGAATATCACACCCCAAATAATTGAGATCTCTCTCTTTGATTTTACTGACCACAAAACACATCTATCATAAACAGAAATATCTTACTTTGATAACAAATAATCTCATTTCTTGATTCTCAAACATTTGAGCTTCAAATGATGGCGGAAATCACATTCAAGTTAAGCTTCTTCACTGTCTTCATATCAGCTCTACTTTTGCTCACTCAATCAGGTTCTCCCTCTTTTTTTTTTGTCTTGTATTACTAAGATCTAATCTGCAATTGTACCATTATGGTTTTGATCACGAATTCGTTAATTTTAAAGTTGCTTATTATTGCATTCGTACGTAGTATATACTTTCTTTATTCTTGTTTAATTGCCCGGTTCTAACTTTACACTATTCATGTGTGGCTATGTTAGATTCATCTAGATAACTTACACATTTATAGGAAAATAAATAAATAAAATAAATAAATAATTCTCAAGTTTAATTGATCATGTGAATTACTTTCTCTGTCCTATAGAGTGGATGAATTAATCCATACATCGTGATTGATAGATATATTAGCCCTCAATAAAAAGACTAAGGTAAATGTGTGCTTTTTGTAGGTGACACATTTGCTACGAAGCTAAATCGCCTAAATGTAGAGGATCAGGATGAACTAGAAAGTGGTAGCTTATTAATGCAAATGTTGATAGAGGCCGAAACAAAAACATTAGGACTTGCCAAAGAGGTAATGGAAATACAAACAGATCAATTAAAGTGCATACCTTGTGGAGCAGCCTGTATTTCTTCAAGAAATTGCTGTAGAAACTGTTTTTGTCTTATCGAGTGGGAGCTTGTTATACCTCGATGTGTCCGTAATAGACCATCTCATTAACCAACTTATTAGATTTCATTACTACTTTACTAGGATGTCACCTTAGAATATAGATCATGTAATAAAGTGGTTAGTCTCTCAGTATTGCTGTTTCCTACGATTTATGGAATAACCTCGTGATTTTATTCTCTATGTTTGCTGACTGTATCATGTAATTTGGTTAGTTCACAATTATTAAGACAAAAGAGAGATTGTTTTCACAATTTGCAGGAGTAATCAGTGCCGATGAGAAGATAAAGGTGATCATAGAGAATGAAAGTGGAAACTTACTTAAAGAACTAGTAAAAGCGGGAGCAGTTCTGCAGTACGACATTCATGAGATGGACGAGGTTTCGGACGAGACTTTATCTGCCAAATTGAAGTGCACTCAATGTGGTAGAGAATGCTCATCATGGAATGACTGTTGTGGAATTTGTGGTTGTGTATATAACTGTAGAGAATAAATTTCAAGCCTTAACCCCTAGCTTGAACCCCACTGTGATCATACAGTAAAGTACGGTGGCGTCCAAAAGGGAAGAAGATAGAGCAAAAGAGTAACCAACAAGTTTTAGGAACTTGTAAACCGTTCACAGGGTGAATGCTACACCGCTTAACGATCCAAGAGATCGTCAACTCCATAAGGTCTAGAACCAAATAAGGGTTCGGGGATGAAGGTACAAATCCAACCTAAAAGAGATTGAATCTGCCCTAATAATAGGCCTCTACTTTATTCTGATCGTATTCATGTACGCTTTCTAATTAACTTACAATCAATAGGTTTAACCCTAAACCTGTTTATCTATGTTGGTTGAATATAATACACAAATAAATCTATTATTGGCGATCACTTGAAATTATAATCACATTAACCATAAACAAGATTATTAATTATCTTATTAAGCATGATTACAAATACCAAATTCCCTTTAAACATGCATAAAAGGCGTGATCAAGCAATTAAAAAGTAAATAATATCAAGCAACATAATATTAATCATGACAATAAAATTATAATCATAATAATAATCGTCACAGATAAAATAATCATCATCAAAATAATAATTATAATAATATTCATAATCATCATAAATTATAACAATTATAAACATAATCATGTTCATGTTAATATTAAAGCATAATAATAACAAGATCCTAGGCATGATACTAACAAGATTAATAACAAACCCTAACATGTCACTAAGCAATAAAGATCAAATCTTTAACCCTAACATGATACTAACAATCATAAATATTAAGAAGAACATATGAAACATCGTAACAATCATATTAAATATTAAAATTACCCTAGACATGATACTAGGAATATCATAATAACAATATAAACATGATTTCTACATCATAACATCAATAAAAATCAATTAAAGTACTTACTTTGATGCCTCGTACCTCTTTCTAATAACAAAATACACACGTTAGTAACTTCAAAGTAAATAATAAACAAACTATCAAATTAAATAATTGAAATAGAGATTTAGGACCAAACCCTCAGAAATTAAACCTTTCACGTCTAGGGCGAAGGCAACTTCGAACTTGGCTAGGTGTTTCTAGATCTTACGAATGCGGAATTTTGTATATGAAAAGTAAAGTTTAGAAAAAGAAAGAGGGACGAAGAGATGAATGAATTAAGAGAGAATTAGAGAATGCGAATGAAAACTGATTGTTGATGAGAATTCGTGAGAATTGGTGAATGAAAACGGAGTTTTTAATACGTTATTTATAGAGAAAATCAGTCAAAAAGATAAAATATCAAAACATAGTCTGGCGCACGAAAAACAGAGCTGGCGCCAACCCTGGCTAACTGGCGCTAGCACCAGGCGCCAATGCCTGGAGTCAGGCGCCAGGCCTGTTTTCAACGCGTTTTCGAAAATCAGCGTACTGGAGGATAAAATCATATATTTTCCTCGAAAATGCTTTTTGATTTTAATTAAAACTCTGCAACAAAAGTCAATTTATCAATGTTAATTGAATTAGGAATGAAAAGAACCTTCTAGAAGAATCTAGAAGACTAAAATCATTCCTAATTGCATTAGGAATGATAAATCATATTAGGCCCTCCTCAAGATTATTGGGCCGCATATAAGACTCAAACCGGGCCCAGTTTAGTAAATTGGCCATAACTTTCTCAATATTCATCGGAATTGGGCTTATAATATATCGTTGGAAAGCTCTTGTCAAGCCCCATCCAACTACACTACTATTGGACCCATATCATGGACCAACCAAACTGGATTAGCTGTTTTCTTAAAATAAGTTTTCAAAAACATAGAGAAGAGAAAAGAAATTAAAAACTATCCGCAACACTAGACTTCCCACACTTTCGCTTCATTCGATTATGATTCGACGTGAAAGGTACTCATCACCGGGTTTGGTTTTGGGGAGACACAAATGGGTGTCTACAATAACACTTGCCTATATCTACCAAACAAGAATAGTATGCTCAATGCAGAGTGATAGTTCATCTTATACAAATATTGTAAACATGCTTTGCCAATAATATCAAAAGTAACCATGAAATAAACTAGCTAATGAAGATCAACAAAATGTGAGCAAACCATATTCTATAAAACAGGACAAAAGCAGAATGGCATGAATTACTCGCACAGGCGGATGGTTCTAATATATTTAAGCAACCTTGCTTTTCCATATGGTAAGCAATGATAGATTGTGATATTGGTAATGACCCTGCAATTTTGCAAGTTTTTCCATGGCAATGCACATACAGAGAGGTGAATTACCCAGAGCCACCATCATAAAATTACAAAAGTATTTATCACTATACCAGTTACCATTACTAAATGTGCTTAAAGAAACAAAGAGCAACACGATATAATTCTTATTATTACTTTTATTAGTTTGTTAAATAAAAATCATTACGGTATGATTTGATCACCAAATGATGTTTGGAAGAGACAGGGGAGACACAAATAGTAGATCAGATGAAACTAATTGCAGCTTGCAATAACATTATTCACCCATTAAAAATTTTAAGGAGAGTTTGTCAACAATTACCAAGTAAAGCACGTGTTTTGAAAACAACTACCTATATTACTCAGACTCTTCGTTTTACCTCAAGTGGTCCGACACTCGGACATGGATATGGCACTTGGACACTTCATTATAGTTCAAAATCATAGAATTTTTTCACAAAATAGCCGAGTCGGATACTTGGACACATACCCGTGTCAGACATGGGTACCCGAGTCCGATTAACATAGACTGCCTATTAAATTTTTTTTTTAAAAAAAAGAGCCACCACAAAGTTGTAAAAAGTTTAAGTAGCACTACCACACTAACAATTTTGGCTAGAATCTCCGGCATTTAAGTTTCACTTTTTATTACTTTTTACCTTTATGAAGAATAATTAGTCATTTTAGATGGTGTTTTTATGAGGTAAAGGTAAAAAGTAATAGTGCCACATGTCGAATATTGTAGTTGGAATTATTAAAGTGGTAGTGCTATTTAAACAATTTACAACTTTGTGGTAGTTTTTTTTTAAAAAAAAAAAAAAAAAAAAAAAAAAAATTAATAGGTAGTTGTTTTCAAAACATGCGCTTTAATTGGCAGTTCTTGACAAAATTTTCAAATTTTTAATCACTACAAAACTTACCAAATCTGCATAGCAAACCGTAGGAGTAGACCAGGCCATTATCAGTAGCAGCAAGACTTTGAATCACAACAGGGGGTCCTGATTCCCAACTCCTACACATAAGATAAAGATTTCTATATTTAAAGATGAAGCGGAGTATGCTGTCCTACATATTACCATACCATTACCGTAATTCTGAAGCAAAGACAACCCTTGCATTCCGTGAGGTCCTTGGAAGACATATCAACTCCATCATCATAAATTCATGCCCCTTCACAAAAAGTTGTAGATCCTTTCTGTCACAAATAATAACCAATTTGTTTAAAATAACAGCACTTTTAAGAAGAAATTCAACATGACTTCTAATAATGACGATTGGTGAAACTTTAGGTTGTTGCATCACACATGGAGAAGAAAGCTTGTACCAAAGCATACTGCAGTCGCAGATAAAATCCTGACATATATACAAAAGAATCTGTGTTACATGAAAGGTGAGCAAAAATTTAGCTAGATGAATTCAATATACGTATAAACTTACCACATCGGCATATATTATAAGTACCTGCAAGAGCTATAAGTTTCTCAACAATCTACAAATGTGTAGCAGATAGCTTTCTATTGGACCCTAGTACACAAAGTTATATGCATCCATGAATTTTGTGGAAAACAATTTCTCATTTCCACAATGTTTTAATTGCTGTAAAAGAATAAATGAACATTAGCAATATTCTAATGATTTTCATTTAACATTATATTTGTGAGGAATTAAGCAACAACACCCCATAACATATAATTACTGAATTAGAAAGTACTACAATGGCTCAGCTGTCAAAAAAAGCTTACATAAATCAATCTGAGCACATGACACGATGATTTGATTTAATTTGAGTTTGGTAATGACACTTGATTAACACATTGTTCTGCTGGACTACATGGTTTATGATTTTTAAGGTAGCTTAAATGAAGCATACACGAGATATCTATCAGCAACAATCAACCACTTTTTTTTTTTTTAGATAGAACCATGAAGTATAAAATATTACCAATATGCAGACCATATGCTTAATCTAACTATTTCTCTCTTTTAACATCAAGGAAACAATGCAAGTACAGTTTAAGAGCCTAAGATTGTATGATGACATGACTTAAATTTGATACAGTACATAATAAATATCATAGCTGACAAGATAACAATATTGAAAATAAATAGCAACAAATACTAGAGAATCAAGAATACACAGCAAAAATGCAGGCCGGGTTCTTCACACAAGAAAGATCATGGGGAAGAGGAATACACATCAACTCACCATATAAGCTTTATATCCCCAGTGGAAAACCTCGACATCTTCAACCTTGTCGAGTAAAATTTCAAAACATTTATCACTACAGGGCAACAGACGTATGATATTGACTTCACAGACAGATGAAACATCAATCAGTTGCAGATTATTTGATAAAACATTACCAATATGCAGGATCTTCAAATTGGGACAATCTAGTGAGTATGGTTTTCCTACAAAATCCGTGCAGATACTTAGAATAAGCACCAGCTTTTCAATGCTTGGAGAAGTAAAATGCAGCTCTTTCAAAACATCAGGAAACAGAATAGCCATTTCTCATACATGCAGGCATCCAGATATATTAAGTTTGAAAGTTTCATCACCCTCAAAGTCACATAAGAAAGATACAATACTCTAAGAGATGCATGTATACTAGACCTGGGAGCTTAATTTTTAAATCTTTAAGTTCAACCGGAAGATATGGAATTCTAAAAACACGTGGTAGAGTTGCTAAACTAGCATAAATACTTGAAATTTCATAATTTTGTAGACGTATTGGCCATAGAACCAATCAAATATTAATGTTGAAACAAAGTCCAAAGATTATCAAATCAATGAATTAAGACAGTTTTTACAACTTCACTAATATCCAACAAGGAGAGAATGTGGACACAGGTGATTCATCAGGTAAGTCACTTAACCTATCCACATCTCAACCCTCTTGCTCCTTTGAAATAGATTTCATGACTTACAATATTCAGAGTTTCAACTTTAACTCAACCTCAAATTTTTAACCCCTTCTATCCATCCCACATCTAAGAATTTCAGGAGGAATTAACTCCATTATAGGGTAAACCTTTGTTTTATCTCTATTGTAAAAGTGAAGGGATGAGGAATGAAAAATTGGTGTCTAAAATATAAACTACCAACGATAACCCCCACCTTTGTTTTATTTTTTAATTTACAAAATTCTTATGATGGTATATGCATTAAAAAAAAAGTCAATGATTGATAAACCTTAAACCTTGACATAACAAGACATATTTAACTATGGATAATTAATTGATTGACTTAGGAAAATAAATAAGGCAATAAAAAAATACTATAACATTGTCAAACCTAAACTCAATTGCCCAATTAAATTAAGGCAAGCAATAATCTCATACAATAGATAAAACAAAAGTTTAGTGTTTTTTTGAATTACATTTATTTCAACAAATTCTTTAATTTTAACATGTACTTTTTCCTTCGTATAAGATTGACAAAATTGAATAGATAGAAAAGTAATAAGTTTTAAAAAAATACGAACAAATCGCATGTATATGGGGTTAGTTATCATAACTCGAATTATATAGCCAAAAACTACCATGTAAGATCAAAATATAACAAACAAACTCCATGACTAGAGTGAGAATCGTACTTCGTATTATATTAGGTAAGGTAAAGATATCTACCATATACTCCCTCTATACCTTAAATGAAGTTCCCGTGGTCCTTTTAGGCGCCCCAAAATGTTGTTTCTATTTCATTTTTCATTTTTAGACACTATAAAAATATCAAATTACCCTCAATATTTAGTTTTAGTTCACTTAACTATCTAAAATACCCTCATATTTTCCCTAAAATATCGTGCCTCCACCCATGTGCACGTATTTTATTTCTTTTCACATTCTTATTTTTTGTGGTCTATCGACTCTACCCACATTTCTTGTACTTAACTCTCTTTTTAATGTACTTCATCCTCCCATTTTCTTAATTCTAATTTTTTTCCAAACAAGAACTTCATTTGGAAACAAACTACAGAGGTAGTAGTAAACCTATTATTTTACAATAATTACAAAATAATTTCCTATATCTCATAAGAGATTATTCTACCTATATTCTTTATCACTTCGTATAGTTTTATATTTGTATCTTATAATATCATTAAGGTATATATTCTTTAATAGTATGATTGGAAACTATATGATATATTTCTTATACAAAACATATGAAGCATGTTTATAAAATTTCAAATAAATGTATTATTCCTTACAAAATTTTTTAAAAATTCAAATTCTTATAATGTATACTAATTTTGAAGTTTCCTAAAAAAAATAGTGTATAAATATATGATACTATAAAATATCTTATTAGATTAGTCATAACGTAATTTACATAGTCAAACTGATGTATTCATATAAGAACAAAGAGAGAAAAACAATTCTACCTCTATTCTATCTTTCTTTAAGGTTGCTTTGTCTCTTTCCTATAATCTCAAGCTCTCATACTTTGCATGTCCATGAACAAGCCAAAAAGAAACCCAAACAATAAATAGTTATTTTGTGCACTCGATAGCACGCTATACATTACGCTCTATGCAAATGTTTCATTTCATAATACTTTTGGGAATTTTTTTAATCATTTTATTTGAAACTTTGTGCAAATTGTATGTAGATGTAAAGATCAGAGGATCCTCACTCACAAACACTATTACATGACAAAATTTGAACCTTAAACCACAAGGATTCAACATATGAACCTTACCAAGTAATACAACACAAGCCTTGCTTGGTGTTTGCGCTATCAATTGGTGCTAAACCTTTCCAAAATTGCTCAATGTTGACATAAGTTAAGAGTTACATTGTCACATTTGTGCCGCTTTGGCAATGTAGTTGTGAGCAACATAGTCACTAATTATTATGAACAATGGTCCAAACTATTCAGTAATTTCTAAAGGGGGGATGGCCTTAAAACACTGAAGTAGCAAACAGCAACAACATAAATCAACTTAGCAACGTTTCTTCCTATTTTGATTTTGTCTATAAAAAAATTCCAAATAAGAACAAATAGAGATGGAGAATTCAGTCATTTTCCAAGCAAAGTCAGATATTGGTAGCAGCAGCACTGAAATCAAACAGTGATCCTAAGTTGCAACAGTAAGAAAATTTTCAAAGGAACTCGGTCTTAAACATAAGAAATCCTCAAGTTTCAACATACAGCATAAGTGCATACTACCTTCAGTATATTTCTCCATCGAAAATAATGCGTGCATTGCGTGAGGCCCTTGGAATGCCCAATAACTTCATAAAGAAAATTTTGTTGTCGTTCGAAAAGAGCTGATCCTTCCCACTGCTGGCAATAACCAATTTCTCCAAGGTGTCTGCTCTTTCAAGCAGAATTTCTATCAGCCGAAAAAGAGTTTTGTAAGGCTTCCCATACTCACGAATGGAGACATTCTTAAGTTGATGGATATCATAACAAGAAAAAACCTCTTGCACAAGGAGTTCATTGCAATCACAAGAAAAATCCTGACATTATATGAAAGATCATTATGTTATAAGTATTAAAAGGTGGATCACGATATTGGCTAGAAAAACTCATTATGTAAAACATTTTACCCCGTTGGCATATATTATAAGTTCTTCCAACATGTGTGAGTTGCACAGTAATCTGAACATGTCTAGCAGACAGCCTCCATGGAAACCAGGCCTCAGAGCTATATGTGTCCAATCATTGCATAGATCAGAATCATCAGATAGTTTCTCATTATATTCTTGTCCACAGTGTTGAAGTTGCTGAAACAAATTAAATTAGACTATTACTTGTTTCTTCCAATTATTATCAAAACTATAGCCTAAAAGTAAATAAAATGAACACTTGATAACAGAGAAAAAAACCACTGCAATGCACTAAGTTGTTAAGAAAAAAAAAAAAAAAACTTGAATTTCTCTGAGCACACTGAGAAATTTAATTTTGGCAATCACACTTGGTTAACTTTGGTTTGTTAGACTACATGTATGGTAGCCAAACATATTTGCTACATCAAAAGCGAGTAATGGTCAGTCAGAAGTAACAAAAACTGTGAGAAACTAAAGTCTAAATGACTTGAGAGTTGCTGTCAAATGACATACTACTACAAGTGCCCAAACCCTCAAATGTAACATACACAACATCAAAACTCAACTACAAGTGAAGAGAAAAACTGTAGAAATTAATATGTGACCACATGTTAATTACCTTATTTTCTTTTTTTCTCTATTATGTCCTGTATACAGCTGTCCTGTATAGCTGTAGGTTTTTTTTTTAATAGATGTACTTTGTTTTTGGTCAGGAGTATAGGTTCGTGGATGTATAAAATCTTACGATTTTACGATTCATGTATATCATACGATTCGATTTACGATTCTACTCGATTTTATATATTTTTCTGAACTAGCAAAATCCTTACAAGTAACAAACATGTTTATATAGGTTTTTATAAATATATATTGTCAAGTATTGATTGCTTAATGGGTAAATAATTATTATCTATCAATAATTAGGTTTCAAACTCATAATTTCAATATATTTATTTAAATTTATATTTGACGTCTTCATTATGCATGTCGGTAGAATCTTACGATTCTACGATTCGATTTTACGATTCGATTCTGATAGGCCCTTCCGATTCAAAGTAGAATCCTGATTTTAATAACTTTGGATGTATCCTTGTATATATAGTGGCAGCTTAAGTTGTAAAGGGTGAAAGCTGCAATACACAGAAATCAATACAGATTTGATTCTATCATTGCAAGTGGTTTTCGAGAAAGGACCAGAATATAAACGCAGAAAGATCAAAACTTTACATGATATCTGAGCAGCAAGGTTGAAAGCTTGAATCTTTTACCTTACTGCTTCATAATCGAGTTGAAAACAGAAGGGTTTCTTGAACCTTGATCGAATGGCAAGGCAAGATAAGGAAACAAAGAATGAGAATGGATATGCAGATCCATTGTTTCTTGCGAACTCTAATAATGCAAATGTTCCTCTTATGTTCAATGGAGAAAACTTTCTCAACTGGAGCAGAAGCATCAAGCTTGCATTGGGATCTAAGAATAAGCTTGAATTCCTAGAGGGAAAGGTGAGTAGGTGACTAAGCCTAAACCTGAAGAACCAAAGTATGCTCTTTGGATGAGAAACGATTACGTGCCTAGAGGATGGTTGTGCAGGTCTATGGATAAGATAATTGCCAATAGCTTCACATACATAGATTCTATAGAGAAGCTCTTAAATGAACTTTAAGGAGAGATATGGAGAAACGAATGCACCTCTCCTCTACTCTCTCTGAAGAAACAGGTTAAGAACCTTGAACAAGAAATAATGCCAGTTTATGAGTATGATTTCAAGATAAAACAGATCTGGGATGAAATACAGGATGTAGAAGGGTTACCTGAGTGCACCTGTAGTGCTATGAAGAAATGCACGTGCCAATTGCTCAAGAAGTTCTTTGGAGATGCAGGAAAGAAACAAAGTGAGAGATTTGTAATGGGACACCAAGAAAAATTAGAACATTGCTGGGAATAAAATGGCAATGGAGCCATCTCCAACTCTGAACAGAGCGTTTCATTTGGTAAAGCAAGCTGAGAAGCAGAGACAGATATTGGAGGGACAGAACACAACAGAAACAAGTGTTTTTGCAGCGATCATGATGAATCAAGGAAGATGAAATGGAAATTTCTAAAGAAGAAAGACGAAAGAGATGAAGATGAAGAAGTGGTGCGACCACTGCAAAATGAAGGGACATACTATTGATGACTGTTTCAAGATTTACGGATACCCGGACTGGTTCAAGAACAACCCAAAAGGAAAAGGAGGAATGAGGTATGCTGCTAAAATGAGTACCTGGAGGAAGAACAGCTTGATTGTGGAAGCAAGAGCGGGAATGCAGAATGCAAGCTCGACAGCAATCCGCAGTAGTTCAAGAAGTAATGAAGGCATTCAGCAAACAGCAAGGTTCTGGAGAGGGCAGTAGCAAAATGGCCAACTTTGCAGGTATAATCTTAGTCTCAAATGCTATAACTTCCAATAGAAAGTATAATATGGATACTTGGATTGCTTACTCCAGTGCCTCTGATCATATGTGTGGTAATGAGAAAGCATTTAGTGATTTTAAATTGCTAAAGAAACCAGTTAAAGTAGGGTTTCCAGATGGAACTATCAAGTTTGTTGAGAAAATAGGAGAAGTTAAGATGTCAAGCAAACTGATTCTTTGCAATACACTGTGTATTGAAGAATTTAAACATAACTTACTGTCAGTGAGTAAACTGATTGAAACCAGCAAGCTCAATGTGCTATTTGATACAGAAAGTTGTATCTTACATGACCCCTACACTAAAAAGAATGTTGCAAGAGGAGTGAAGGAGAATGGGCTTTACATGCTGGTGATAAAGTGTGATGAAGGGAATGAAGCCACAAGAGGATAAGAGAAGATGAGCAATAATTTAACTGTTTGAATGTTCTTCATGCTAGACTAGGGCATAGTTCTCTTTCTAAGATGATACATATTGAGATTTGCAATTGTACTTCCTTTAAAGATTTCTTTTGTGATGCATGTTGCATAGGAAAACATCATAAACTTCCTTTCAAATTAAGTAATTCAATTGCAGATGGAATTTTTTATCTTATTCATGTAGATATTTGGGGACTCTATAGAATTCCTGCTGTGATAGGAGAGAGATACTTTCTCACTATAGTAGATGACTATATGTTGTCCCAGTGAAAGATATTTTGAATACCTTCTTTAATTACATTGAAAATCACTTCAATGTAAGGGTGAAAAATGTGAGAAGTGATATGGGACAGAGGTGTTACAAAGTGAATGCAGTAAAATATTTCATGATAGAGGGATAAAGCATCAGAGAAGTATTCTAGGTGTAACTCAACAGAATGGCAGAGTTGAGAGAAAGCACGGGCACTCGACCGAGACAGCTAGAACCATGAGAATCTATGCAGATCTACCGAGATACTTATGGGGTGAATGTGTAATGGCAGCTATACACATCATTAATCTATTGCCTAGTGCTTTAGTTGGGTGGAAAGCACCTTATGAGAGGCTCTTAAAGAAGAAACCAGATATGATCATCTTATAATCATAGGATGCTTATGCTATGCATCAAACACTGATAGAAAGTTAGATAAGTTTGGAAACAAGGGAGTAAGATGTGTATTGGTGGGATATGCAAATGATATATCATTGATGGATAGCATAAGCATAGATCATAGAGGGAGAACTATGCAAATGAAATAAATAAAAATAAATAAAAATAAAAAATGGGATATATCTCCCTAGTTAGATTATGTATCATATGATCAAAGAGGGATATCCAAACTTATCATGACATTAGAGAATAAGATGTGTATTGAGGAACTATGAGTAAGGTGCGAAGAAGGAGAAAAAAGAGAGCTAGAAGCTGAACAGAGAGAGAAGAAAGAGGAACAGTAACAAATCGAAGCCTCGCCGGTCGCCGTTGTCGGAGTGGTCGCCAGTGGTCTCTTGTCAACGCAGAAGATTGAATTAAGTCGCAACTCTAAGGGAATCGCTGTTGGCAATTGTTAGGGTTTTTGAGAATTGAGGGGAATCGAAAATTAGGTTAGTAATTCACTAATTTGGGGTTTTTTTCTAAAAATATGGGATGTAAATCTAAGGAAACGTCATATAATGAGCCCAGCCGTCCCCGATATGTATCCGAGCAAGAGGCTAGCCATCCCCAAATTGGCTTGCCATACCACTTTCAAAGGGGACACCTTGGGGATGTTTTCCTAGCCGTACCTGTACCATACCCGTCCCCAAAACGTTTCTGGTACGAGAGACGGCTACCATCTAACGAATCCGTGCATCCTTGGTTAGAAGTATCAAGGAACGAGGAGGGAATAATCCTGAATGAGAGAAAACATATTCAGCAAATTCCCTATGCAAAAGGGGCTAAAATCCTCCTTCAACAGTATAGAAGACTCATTGGAAGACCGTTATATTTGAGATTATCCAGACCAATTTATGCAGACTCCCAGGAAGCCTCATCTACAAGCTGCTCTTCAATCTGGGCACTTGAATAATCTTTGCCAAGATACTGAATAGTCTCATATCTTGAAAAAGCAAGAAGATAAAGACAGTTTCAAAGTCTTCGGCTGAATCAGCATGCCACACACAACTAGTGAGCTAGTTTGGTTGGATAGGACATGAAAGTCGGCACAATTTCTTATCCTACAAGTTAGGAATTGTTGGAACCTTCCCCAATCCAACTTGAGGGAGGGGGTGTAGAAATTAACATGTGACCACATGTTAATTACCTTTTTTTTTTATTATTATTAGCTGAACTTTGTCTTTGACTCTTGGGTCAGGTGTAGAGGGTTAGTGGACGTATCCTTGTATATATAGTGTCAGCTTAGGTTGTAAAGGGTGAGAGCCGCAATACACAGAAACAATACAGATTTGATTCGATCATTGTGAGTTTTCCACAAAGGACCAGAATATAAACACAGAAAGATCAAAACTTTGCAAAATCTACCCAACTTATTCATAGTTTCAAGTAGATAAATCAGGTATTATCCTTGTTCCTAACAGGCTAACATTCTACGATGAAAGATATATTAAAAACAGCCAGATCTTGTATCACAAAATAGACCATAATTATTGTCACGACAAAGACTTCAAATCAATAAGTAACAGATTACAATATACTGGTTCATTATCACAGTTCGAATACCTGTACCAGATAACAATACTGTAAGTGTGGCCAGAATGGAAAAATAATTAACAATAGTGAGGAATCACAAATAAACCAAAAGGTGCAGAATTCTTCAAAAAGTAAGAACAAAGGAAAGGAGAAAACAACTCACTCGATAAACTTTGCTTCCCAGCTGGAAAAACTCAGCATTCCGAAATTTGTCAAGTAATAATTCAAAATGCTGAGCCCTCGTCACTCTCATATCCTGGTCTTCGAAATAAAATATTTTTTTGATGAAGCATAGACAGGCCGAAGAAGCATTAATCACTTTCAGATGATCCAAAAGCACATTTTCAACATACAAGATCTTGACATTAGGGCAATCAATTGAGTAATGTTAGGGTACAACCACATACTCCATTGAAAGATCAAGCCGCAAATACTCAATGCTCGGATTAGTAAAATGCACCTTTTGTAATCCTTGAGGATTTAAAACAAACAATTCTTGTAAAAGCGGGCATCCTTTTATCAAATCTTGAAACATCTCATCACTCAAACCCACACGCTCAAGCACCAAACTTCTCAGTGACTCCAAGTTCACAACACCCGGGAGCTTGATCGCAAACCCCATAAGCTCAAGCACAACAAGACAATGACTACGGAAAACTTGTGGTGGCAGATTAACTAAATTATAAAAATAAACTTCAACTCCTTAGTTTCTTTACTTAAAGCGAAATTGGTCCATTCAATCAACTTATCCTGTGAAATATCAAATAATACTTTTAATTCAAACGTATTAATAATGGGATTTTTGTGGTATTTGATCACATTGTCGATGAATCTTTCCTTTTGGAAAGAGAAATTAAGATTAGGGCTCAAAGTCCAAAGATCACCAAATCTGCGAATTTGAACAGTTTTTATAGCATCTCTAATTGGCAGAAAAGAAAGTATGTGAGCAAGTACATCTTTTGGCAATTCGCTAGACCAATCTCTGATTTCATCATCTTTATCGCTAAGTTTTTGCTTCTTTGATCTAGATTTCATGATTTTTCAGGTTTCAATCTACCCAAAAATCGATTACAAAATTGGGTTAGAAAATTAAAATCAACCTAGAATTATGATGGATTTCACAAAAATTGAGAAACAAAGGGATTGAAAGACTTACATAATTCGAGTACTCAGCGATTATTAGCAGGAATTGGAGAAGAAATTGAGAGAGTTCATCTTCTGCAAAGTGCAAACCCTTCTGAATTCCACAGCTCACAAAATGGGGGGCGGGAGAAAGTAACATGTATCGGCTGCCAAGTGTTATTTGAATGGCGTAACTATAAGTTGTACTGGCTTATGGTCCCGTGCACGGATTTACCAAAATTTATAAGTAGTAAATATATTTATTTCAACAACTTTTTTATGATTTTTTTTATAATAAGTATGAAAAAATTCGATATTTTGCTAATTATATTAAAAATTATGCATATCTTTTTAAATAATATTTCGTATTATGTTGCTTAAATTTTCTATAAGTTGTTACAAAAATGTTTTATTGAATTTGGGACGGAAAGATTGTGTTTAAGTAGGAAAGTAAATATTATAGTGTATTAAAATTGCCTAAGATAATCTGACAAAAAAAAGAAAAAAAAAAGTGGAGGGAAATTATTTAACCAGATTTTGTCACGTGTCATTTTTTATTCGCCTTTAGTATATAGTTATTGATATTGATTAGACCTAACAAAACAGACCCGGCTTGCTTTAAAAATAAAAATCGAACCGACTAGAATGACCCGAATCATTGATCTGATAAGATATTTACCTGATTTTATAAAGAGATATGGCTAAAATTGATGGTTATTGATCTAATTGCCATTAACAAGCTAAATGACAATCGAGAAATTACAAGATCTTGATATCGCAAAACGGTAAATAAATCAAAAACTAGTGAGTAGCCCAGGCGTTGTCCCGGGTTGCTACTTTTGTAATCGTGCGATTGGGGTACGTGTTTTTTTTTAAAAAAGGATTTTGAAATATGAAATCGACATTGTTAAATATGAAATCGACATTGTTAAATCATATGGTTAACACTTATGTACATTTCTTTTTCATATTTATTACACGTTTGATAATGGGCTAAGATGGTTAAACTATATACTTTCTTATTTGTGAAGTGATGTGGCATAATTTAAAAGGATCTACGTGGCACATAGACGTTTTTATAAACGCCTTTTAATATATCAGTATAGATTTTTCATTAGCTACGAGTCTCACAATTATTGATATAATTACGAAAATGTCATGTTGGATGGATTGTATAGTTGATTTGTTTACGGAATGTCGTTTTTCCATTTGCTTAAAAATTGATGTAATTAGAGCTTTTTCGTGATGATAAATCCAAGCACGCATTTCGAGAAACCCTAATATGGCCCAACAGTGCCTAATACGTCCCGTAATGCCTAAAATCCTAATCATAACCCTAATCAAGTCAATTAATCCCCTCCTACAAATACTAATCTACACAAATTAGTCGGGTAATGAATTTTCTCCATTCTCTCTCTACAAACTTTCTCTCTCGAAACACCGTTAACTGACTTGACTGTCAGATGAGACAGACGAGATGGCTTCCCCACAACTCAGATCCCAGAATTCTTTTGCAAAAATACTTGTATATTATAGTTTTAAATTTAAGTTTTATCCGATATGTAATATCACGGTCTATTTTCAACAATGATTTTGTTTTACTAGTTGTTATCTACTTATCCATCTATTTTCTTCACAATAAGTCAAACCAACTAATGAAAGATCAAGCCCCATCGGCTATTCAATAGGTTAGTAGTCTCAGTCCAACTACGAAGGCACTTGTTATTAAGATGACTTCTGTTTAAGCTAAGCCACGTCACATTATAACAGCATTGAAAGAGAAGTATCCAAACAAAAACCCTAACATGAGAGAGATCTACAACGTGAGAAGATGTGCTCGGCTACATACTCGTAAAGGTTGGCCATCGTTAAGTCGGTGGTGGTGTATATGTAGCAAATTTGAACATACCTTGGGTTCTCGTGGCTGTCAAGATAGTAGGGGGGTCATCAAGGTGGTCATAGGCCACCAATTGGCACAACTTCAGGTTCATTTTTATGTAACTATCCTTTTACCATTGTTTATTCGAAATTTGAACGTGATATGTTATATCCTGTCATTGTAGGATATATGTGATATTCTTTGTATAATTATCTTATGAGGGACCCTAACCCCATGTGGACTCATTTTGTAACCCTATATATTTTGATCAATGGAAAACACTCCAATCTGAGGAGTTTCACAAAATCTAACATGGTATCAGAGCTAAGTGAATTCCCGGGTATGTTTGCAGACTTCGCAAGGCTCTCTACGGCCTCAAACAATGCCTTTTTATATGGTGATTTGAATTAGTGTGTGTATATGCATCAACCCCCGGGTTTGTTGACAAGAGATATCCCGGCTATGTTTGCAGACTTCGCAAGGCTCTCTACAGCCTCAAACAAGCCCCAAGAGCTTGGTATCAGCGGTTTGCTAACTTTCTTGTGCATATGGGGTTTGTCATTGCTAAGAGTGACAATTCTTTATTCATTTATGATATGACATACTTACTATTATATGTTGATGATATTGTGTTGGTTACATCCTCAAAGAAGCTACGTGAGCGCATCATATCTCACTTACGTACAGGATTTCCAATGACTGATTTAGGTCCTTTGAATTTTTTTTGGGCATTGTTGTTACTCGCACTCCATCATATCTATTTTTATCTCAGCAAAAATATGAACATGAAATTTTAGAGCGTGCAGGTATGGCTAGTCGTTGTAAATCTACAGCAACTGCAGTGGATACTCAATCCAAACTCAGTGCAGAGTTTGGACCTAAATTTCATGATCCAACACTTTATCGAAGTCTAGCAGGTGCATTACAGTACCTCACTTTTACTCGCCCTGATATAGATTATGCAGTTCAGCAGGTCTGTTTATTCATGCTTGACCCTAGAGAGGCTCATTATGATGCATTTAAACGCATCCTGCGATGCATTCAGGGCACCATTGATCACGGGGTACACTTATATCTTTCAGACAAACTTGATCACTTATACTGATGCAGATTGGGGCGGGTGTCCTGACACTCGTCGCTTCACTTCCAGATATTGTTGCTTCTTAGGTGACAATCTTATTTCTTGGTCTTCTGAGCGTCAGGCTACTCTTTCTAAATCAAGTGCAGAGGCGAAGTATCGAGGCGTCGCGAATGTTGTCGCCGAGGCATGTTGGCTTCGTAATCCTCTACTTGAGTACAATGCCCTCTTCGACAGGCTACAATTGTTTATTGTAATAATGTCAGTGCAATTTATCTTTCTCATAATCCCGTACAACACTAACGCACCAAGCATGTTGAGATGGACATCCATTTTGTTCGAGAGAAGGTGGCATTGGGTCAGGTACGGGTCCTACATGTTCCTTCACGGTATCAGTTTGCAGACATATTCACAAAAGGCCTACCTTGACAACATTTTTGGAGTTCAAATCCAGTCTTAGCGTTCGCCCTCCTCCCGCTATGACTGCGGGAGTGTGATAGAATATATGATAAGATATTCTGTCATTGTAGGATATATGTGATATTCTTTGTATAATTATCTTATGAGGGATCCTAACCCCATGAGGACTCATATTGTAACCCTATATATTTTGATAAATGGAAAACACTCCAATCTAAGGAGTTTCACAAAATCTAACAGAACGGTTTTAACTTTGTTTATATCTTGTAGGGAATGATTTAAACTTGGAGGAATTTGCATATTTTGATAAAGTACCAACCTTCATGCTTCCACTCTTACGAGGGTGGACTGGTGGAGTGATCCACTAGGAGATGGTAACTGTGGGTTTTAACGTGTTGCAGATTTCTTCATGGGAGACCAGGAGAAATGGATGTTAGCGAGAAGTACAATAGCAAATGAGGTTGCTGCCCATCGAGATGTGTATTCTCGAGTGTACATTGTTGGACTGTTACATCAAGCAATACACCGTATCACATGGACAGGAGGGAGATGTACCACGGATCACTGGATGATTACTACTGATGACTACTTTCCAATTGCCAACTTTTACAACTCACTTGTTATGTGTTTTGATGTTGGTAGTGACAATCGTAGTGTGTGCCCATGCATCACTGTGCTACCTTGGACCACTCCGTCAATTGCCACTGGTCCGTATAGAGAGCTTGCATTTTAACATTAGGGTGGCATTTTGTGCGAATGGAGTTCAAAGATAATTTCCTAATACCTCCTATTGCTACTACTTGGTTCGAAATACCTGATGATACCGTTATAGGTTGGTAGGTGAAGTTGAAATAACGTTGTTTTTATGAGCTAATATTGTTGTTGCCATTAACTAACACGTCTATAAAAATTTGTCAGAACCCACATTTTAACACTTTTTTTTTTTTTTTTTGAAAAACCAACTTATCAGTATTTTTTGTAAGAACACACTTAAAACCAGAAAGTTTTTGCGAGATAATACCTTAGGCCGCTTTCATGGCATTGATCGACCTTGTTTTCCGGCATTGACCCCCTCACGTAAGAGTCACATGCTCATAATACCCCCAATCTTTCTCCTCAAAGCCACCACAACCACAGTAGTAGCTGTAGCAGCAACAGTATCAGTAGTGTAACAATAGTAGCAGTACGTAGCAATGTAGCAGTAGTACAGAGTAGTATTGTAGCAGAAGTAGTAGTAACAGTACTGCAGTAGTAGAACTAGTAGTGTACTTTTTTTTTTTTTTTTAACAGCGGAGAACTAGTAGTGTACTAGTGTAGCAGGTAGTAGTAGTAATAACCGATGATAACTTGTTTGGTACTTTGGTTGGATCATTATATTTATATCAAAAGCAGACCATTGAGTAAAGCTTTGTTTCCCATTCAAAACAAAAACTGCTCTGTACCACATTTCAAATACTTTACATAATTTGCATTTTGCAACCTGTTTATGCTCGTTGAAAAATTCCGTAAGATACATGTAAATTGTTACAGAATGTACCTATGTGTATTCTGAAGCCGGGTGCAATTCAAGAAGCTAGTTATAAGTAATTTACAATAGTATAACACTCATCCAATCACACACCTTACGACAAACTTGATCTAAAAGCTATCATGGAAGTATTTTTAAAACACAATTCATGCTCTAAGTCAAGTTCCTTGACTTTGGGATCCCCATCCAACCTTCAGGAGAGAAGCATAAAGTAACTCGTTCCATAAGTCAGGCACACCAGGCAAGCACCAATGGCTGCAATCTTGTGATTGCTCGGCCTCAATTCGCTCATCTTCACTCTCATATGACTTCCTGTAAATCGAAGGGTGAGCATCCTTTCTGTAGTCTGTGAGCCTGCTTATGTTTAAGTACATCACTGGGGTCTTCATTTTCCCCAAAACTTGCTCAAGAGCTCTCATCTTTGAAGGGTATTTCCCTAAGTAAGTCTCGTTGAAGATGGGTTCAGTTTCCTTATGGCATTGCCCTCCCGAATTCCACTGACCTCCTCTGCATCAAACGCTAATTAACGTAAATTCTGAATCTGCTAGAAAACTAACTAATTAAGAACATGGACATATGATAACACAGTCACACAGAGCATATGATTTCAAAATAAACAACATTATATTCAGGCCAATAGTTTATGAGTTATGAACTTGAGATCTTAGATTAAAGAGACCTAATCACTCTCTCTTCTGTTTTCTTTTCGGACAATGATCAATATAAAGATAGATAATTACT